GTCGTAAGCATCGCAAGGGATCTTCATCCAGACACCATTCTGATTCTGAGGAAGATTCTGCTCAAGAGAATAACGTAAGAAAATCCCACCATCACAAAACATCAGAAACTTATGACAAACACAATGAGAGACGGAGGTCAGATATAGACGATGAGTCAAAGAGTCATAATAAGCACTTTGAGAGGCCAAGGTCAGATATAGACGACGAGCCAAAAAGAAGAGAAAGTCGTGATAAGCATTATGAGAGACGAAGGTCAGAATTGGATGATGAGTCCAAAAGAAGAGAAAGTCACGACAAGCACTATGAGAGACGAAGGTCAGATTTAGAGGATGAGTCCAAAAGAAGAGAAAGTCATGACAAGCACTATGAGAGACGAAGGTCAGATTTGGATGATGAATCAATAAGAAGAGAAAGTCATAGAGAATCTCGACCCACCCGGAATCACTCCCCTAGCAACCGTTTGGAAAGGGAGAATCTCAAGAGTTATGGTCAAGAGGATAGAAAAAGGAAAACAGAGGATTTAGACAATGGAAAATACCCTTCCAAAGAGAATGAAACCCATCAGAACAGACGGCGTAAAGGTGGCTCTAAACTATCAGAAGAAGAGAGAGCAGCTAGATTGAAGCAAATGCAAATGGATGCAGAGGTGCACGAGGAGCAAAGATGGAGAAGAATAAAGAAAGCCGACGAAACTGATGCAGTGGAAGCTGACAAGAACAAAGTATCCGTCGGCAAAAGCTTTTTGGACGATGCTAATAAAAGCGTGTACGGAGTCGAGAAAGGTGGAAGCTCAACAATCGAAGAAAGCGTGCGTCGTAGAAGCTATTACTCACAGCGCGGAACTGAAGCTGAAGGCAACGCGTTTCGCCGCTAGTGACGCAAATCGCAAATATTGTTACAACACACACACAGTACAAAGGTTTGTTGTGTCTCTTTAAAAACTTAGTAATCAAATTTGGTCAGAATTGTTTTATTAAAATCTTTGACATTATTATGTTTCTATCTCCAGGCTATTGTTGTTATGAGCATTGTGTAGTGGATAAGATGGGCCTAACTAGCCATAGGCCCATCGCGTAGCCCATTATGGAGTGGTCCAGACTTCAGAGTCGTTTTGATTCCCAAACAAAGCGTGGGATTTGTGACTTGTGCTGTGTAATAATAATAGCTTTTTAGTGGGACGTTGAAATGAGATGTATGAAAACCCGTGACATGTAGTTATGCATAATACTCCCAAGATTCCTCTTTGGCTCTTTTAAAGAAACCACGAGATGTATCCACTCTTTTCTTCTTCTTCATTTTTTTGTTGTCTTGTTGAAATTTTTAGTTTCTTTGCTTTTTTATGTGGACAAAATCTTTCAAGTAAGCAAAAAGGTTTTTGTCTAAAGATTTTTAGAAGTTAAAAGTTTGACCAATTGAAATTTTTGACCTATGCTTTTACATAAAAAAACACAAAATCGAACAGAAGAAAGAAGAAATGATTTGGGTTGTTGTGGAAACATTTTGCCGTGTGAGAATTTTTATGTTTTTTCAAAGATTCGACCGATTCGGTGGTAGAAGCTTATAACAAGAGTTCACGTGATGTGTAATTTGTACAATGATGTCATTGTCTTTTTTAAAATTTTTTTATTTCTCTTTTCTGTTATTTATTTTTCCCCGATAAGGATTGTTTAATTTTGTGGAAATGGCTTTAGAGGTAGGATTTGTTAATCAAGACGTACACCTTTATCACCTCATTGTATTAAAGATTCCCACTTATTTTTACGTTTATGTCATAATGGTCATAACTAATAGTAAATAATAATGCAGATGATATAAAAAAGCCAATTTTTAAGTTTATTACAAAAATTATATTTGATAACGAGTGCGTGATGATATAATGTGGTTGTGTGTAATGCCACCGTTCTTGACATTGCAAGACCAAAGTTTGTAACGGGGACTAAAGAAAATTCCATAAATATATTAACCATTTTGAACAAAAAAAAAAAACAATTGCATCTATTACTCAACTTATTTTTCTATAATATTATAATGAAAATTTTCGAAACAGAATTCATTTGGAAATTTCGAAACACTTCTACGGTGGAGCCAAAATATTTTAAAATATCACCTCTGCATTTATAACATTTGAATTTAATACGGGAGAGAGATGCAAATTGCATATACAATTCTAAAAATATCTTACTAATATTTTTATATACTAAACAAATATAACATTGTAAGAAAATACGAATAAAATATTTTCATCAAAAAATTAAGAATAGAAGATTTGTACAATTCACAACCAAAATAGACAATAGATGTTTTTTGGGCCAATAAGAATTTAATGGAATTAGGACACACGATCGAGTTGGCTG